GCTGGCGACTCACATGGACCCACCAAAATCCGAAGGCACCCCCGGAATCCTCTCGCCTGGGCGCACATTTTTTCGGCCGCCGTCGCTGGATCCGGCGAACTTTTTTGGCGACCACTTTTTCCGGCAATCGAGCACCCTCCGAGCTTGTGGTTAGTATTTTTGTGCTTTTCTTATCGTATACCATCATATCCTTTCGTTTGGTACTTTTTCCGGCGACCGGAGCTTCCACTTTCTTATATTTCTCTATTTACGAACTCCGACGATCGTTTTTCTCGACATTTTCCAAGGTCCAACGACTCGAACTCGTGTTATATTTCCTTACTTTCATTATATTCGTTGTGCTTGGATTACTACTGTTGTCGAAGTAGTCGTATTGAGATATTTGGGTTAGACTTGTGTTATAGGCACGTCTTGCCGAGCGTGCCGAATGTTTGTGTTTTTGCCGGGATTTTGAGTTTGTAGGTACCTACTTACGGCAAGCGCCTGGAATCGATTCATGCATTGAATCAAAACGGAGTTGGTTGTGTCGGGCCATGACGAGCATCGACAAGGACCTTGAGGCCCGATTTTTGAGCTTTCAGGAGTACGTGTGTCTACGTCGAGTTTATGCACGGATGGTTATCATCTCTTTGGGACACACACGTATGCCTTTATCATTCCATGTGTTCAATGCTAAACCATTCGGATGGCTTCATTTCGAGCTCGAGGGCTTTCGATTGATCTCCTCCATTCCTTCCGGACGACCACTATTAGACACACGATGGTGCACCACCTTATAGAGTATGCATTTTCTTTTCTTATTTTCTCTTTCTTTCTTTGCTTTTTGTGTGTCTTCGTGTTATTTTCTTATTGTTTCTTAGTTTCGTGTGTTTCATTTTTCGTTTTCTTCGCATGAGCTTACATGATTATGTGCTTTCTCCTATGCTTTTTGGTCAAGCAATGAGGACATTGCTTTGTTTTAAGTGTGGGGGAGGGATTTCGTGATTATGCATGTTTAGGTGATATTTTCTTCATTTTTTGTGCTTTATTTTTCATTTTTGTCGTTTCTTGGACCGATTTTGTTCGAATTTTTGTGTGTTTGTGTCTCCTCTCTCGCATGATGCTCTATGTTTGTTCGAGAGTCGAGATAGCTAATTGGTGAGTGAAAATTGTTGATTGGTTTCACTATTAGCGTTCATGCTTTATGTACTTGATGAATTTGACGGTTTCCTTAAGTTAAATGATGATTCGTTGACATTGGAACCCGCATGTGGATTCACGAAATTGTTTTGTCCTTTGTTTGTTCTCGATTGATTGTCTTGAGGCATGCTTCTATTATGATCGATAATTGTTGTAAACGTGTTATCTATGCACTTGTGGTACATTTCGATTGAGTTGTGATGCTTATGTTATTGTAACTGTGATGTATCCTTGTGTTCCTCTCCCTAAAAAAAAGGAAAAGAATAAAATGTGAGTTCGCGAGAAAGTACGGATTAGGCTCCTCTTATTCCGAGCCACTTCGTGGATTGGGATAATGAGCCCAAAAAACCGATCTAGGAAACTCGGGGAAACCCCTCGAGGTTAAACCTAGATCATCTCGTCCGGAAACCTCGTTTGGAAAAAGAAGCTCACGAAATGAGTTCGTTAGAGTTGAAAGGATTAGGCTCCTCTTGACTCGGTTAGTCTTTTAGATAAATCGGGTCATTGAACACGGGAAACCGGCCTAGGAGACTCGGGGTCAAACCCCGAGGTTAAACCTAGGTAATAACCATCCTAACGGCTCTCATTTGGAAAAATGTGGCTCATTAATTAAAAAGAAAAAGAAAAAATAATAAAAAAATAGAAAAAAATAAATAAATAAAAAAAAAAAAGAAAAAGAAGAAAATTGGGGAGTTGGCTTATTGGTCTCGTGCTTATCATTTCATGTTTTGTAGACCATTTATAGTTTTTTCACGTATAACTCGAGTAATCATGTGTAGAATGACTTGGGACATGTTTTTGTTTCGTATGGATTCACTATATGGGGACCGTGTCTCGGATTAGATTTTGATTTTAGGGACAACCGGATGATAATGAGAGTTTCATTTTGCATGTTCGTTAATTTTGGACCGTTTGATTTTTTTCTCTTCGAGCTATTTGTTATTTTGTTTGCCTGAGGACAAGCAAAGAGTTAAGTGTGGGGGAGTTGTTTGTTATGTTTTTGTGCTTATTTTATGTGTTTATGTGCATTATCGAGTCGGTTTTAGGTTTGTTTTAGTTTCAATCGGTCCATTTTATCGTTTTCTGTGTGTTTTTGTGTCTTTCCTGTTATTTTATATTTTGGCGTATTTTTTCGTGTTTTTGGTATATTTTCAGGTTTCTCCCGAGAATGAAGAGAAGAGTCGAACTGAATCCCAAGTAGCTTCGAGTCATTCGCACGAACCCTTTTAAACCAAGAGTTTCGAGCCTTAGTCAATGCAAATGCACGTTACGCAAGCCCAACTCGCGACCTCGCAGCCACGCACGCGGCCTCGCCAATGCCCGCTCGCGCACGCCTGCGCCCTGCACGCCCGCCTGCCATCACTCG